GTGTGTCTGTGTGTGTGTGTGGGTGTGCGTGCGTGTGTGTGTGTGTGTGACTGTGTGCGTGTGTGTGGGTGCGTGCGTGCGTGCGTGCGTGTGTGTGTGTGTGTGTGTGTGTGTGTGTGTGCGGGGGAGGCAGCGAGAGCGGGAGACGGAGCGGGAGGCAGCAGGAGAGGGGGAGGCAGGGGGAGTGGGGAGGCAGCAGGAGAGGCAGCGGGAGAGGCAGTGGGGGAGGTTGCAGGAGCTGGAGCAGGAGAGGCAGCGGGGGCTGGAGCAGGAGAGGCAGCGGGAGCGGGAGCGGGAGAGGGAGCGGGAGCAGTGGAGGCAGTGGGAGCGGGAGCAGGAGAGGCAGCGGGAGAGACAGCGGGAGAGGCAGCGGGGGAGGTTGCAGGAGCTGGAGCAGGCAACACGGCTGCACAACGCCAAAAACGACTGCAAGGAACGACATGGCACGCAGGACATGCAGCGCAGCAACCGTGTAGTGAAGCACAAGACAACACAAACAAGGCAACCACACTGCAAATAACGACAGGGCAAGCGGACCAGCAGCTCGACAACAGTGGAGCGAAGCACAAGGCATCCGCAACAAGGCAACCATCCAACAAGGCCCGCAAGCAGCAAACACGGAAGGCACGACCAGCAGAGGGGCAGCAAGGCAGCGGAGCAGCGAAGCGCAAGGCAACACCAACCACACGGCCACACCACACAGCAAACATATCAACCTGCATACAACCACATGCGAAGCAAGCGGGACAGGCAGCAGGGCAGCGGCGGAGCGCAGACGAGGCCGTCCACACATCCAACACGGAGCAAAGCAGCACATGACCTACTCACATCACGATTGAACCCCACAGACTGTTGGTTCCAACCACCCACTGAGCCAGGGAGACACTCCGACGAGCCTTCGTCATCACCCACATACAACACAGACATCCCGAACAGAGGGCCCCCCCTAAGAGTGCAGTTGGCACTCCGAACGAGGAACCACCGACTGTTTGGCACTAACTAAGGGTGCTCAGTTGGGCACACAGAAAAGTACTTAGAAAAAATCAGAGGGAGGACAGACAACAGGAAAAAGACTGACAGACATAAAACTGATTGTGTGTGTGTGTGTGTGTGTGTGTGTGTGTGAACGCGGGGGGGAGGCGGCCCCCCCCCCAACAATCAATCAATCTTTTTTTATTTTATTTTTACATTTTTTTTTACAGTCAATCAATTGATCAATCAATCAATTTGTGAGGAACAAGCCCTCAAGGGGCCTTATCAGACATCACATGTTTTGGGCTAAGGCCCCCGGCAAGCCGAGTGCCCGCCCTAAGTGAAGGCGGGCCTGAATATTTGTCAGAGGCCAAAATTCGCCATTTCCATATGTGGGTATTCAGGCTCTTCGCAGCACGCCAGTTGGTTGGGTAGATCCGTGAGCCTCACTAAGCTGCGTCATACAGTTGGCCCAGGCCTTGACAGTTGCTCCTCGGCACATACACACAAAGCAGGGCCGATACATTGGGAAGCAGGCCGCCGATCTTCGGAAAAGCAGTACTGCCTACGCACCTGCCTGGGGGCCCCGCACAGATGCAGCAAACAGCCCAAGTCCGGAGACTCAGGCTGTGCCCAACTGAAAAGGGCCCAGGCCCTCAACTGTAGTCTCGGGCCTCGGCACAGGGTCTGAATCCCAACCAGAAGCTACTGGAAGCTTCCAGCCAGGCCACATGCAGCATACAGGAGGCTGCCACTTCCATAAAAGAAGTGAGGCAGCCCAGGCCAGGCATTCTGGCCAGTGCTGGCAATGTGGAAGTGCTGCTGCGCTATTGCTTGATGCTGCGCTGCTGCCAAGGGCGCCGAGAGGGCGCGTAGTGGTGAAGTGGGGTGCTGCAGGGCAGCGGGGCGCAGACGACCATAGCCGGGCTGCTGGGCGCCAGGGGGTAATGCGGGCGATCGAGTGGTCTTCAGGAAAGGATGCGAGTGTGGGGTAATCAAGGTCTGATTGATGGTGACGAGATACGTAGCTGGTGCATGAAGAGAGGTCGGCTATGGTGTTGACAGTCATGTACATTGGTCTTCGAGTGTCGAAGTGAGCCTGTTGCGTGAAGCAGATGTAGGTTGGATAGTCGGGTAGAGTAGGCTGGGCGCTGGGCGCCAGACAAAGAGGAGCGACTTTGGATACTGTGTTGGTGTGGCCTACGGGCTTGGACATTGACTCGTCACTTCATTGTATTGCTCTATATGGATGGTTTTCTCGGTGCATTTGTACTCTCTGCTTGGACACAACTACTTGGACATCTGTGTGATTTTGCAACTTGGTTTTCTGTATATCGTTCACGCTCATATTCCTTGCAGTTTGGTATCAGAGCTGGTTCGTGATCGCCGCTTACCTGACATCGGCGACATTGTTACTTGGTGCGCTGACGATGCTTCATGTGCAGTAAGGATAC